GGGTTGCTTCTGCTCCTGGGGGGATTGCTGCCTTTTATTTCCTTGTTTTGTTTGGATGCCACCAACTCTTTAGCAGTGTGTGGGGTGTCGGGGGAGGGGGTAAGGGTAGGTTCCATGTGTTTCTCCAGGAATCTGGAAGTGAGCTGAGAGTCAGGGAGGGAAGATCCTGAGTCAAACTGGCAAGACAGCTAGACGGACCCAGGGGCTCCTGCTTGCCTGGTACCTGGGCCCCTTCAGCACTGCTCATGACACTGTGGCACCAGGTGCCAACAAGGCCACAACCCACCAGCCCTCCAGGTGTGCCCAAAAGAGCATGAGTCGACTCTCCATCTTTACCCCTTGGGATGGTCCCATTTTTCAACCTAGCTGTGCTGGTTCCCCACACATGAAATGAGTTTACATGAAACCCAATGTGCAGAGCTGTAATTAGGATAAAATCAGGTAACATATGTGAAGGGACGTGCAAGGGACCAAGCTCCTAGCTTACCATCATCATAATATTTAAATGGGGAAAAGTAAGCACTAAAAAAGGGATAACCTATGCCAAACGCATAGATGAATTTCATTTATGTGTAATAAAATTACACCTTGATTGACCGGATTACAGGGAGTGCCAGCCCCCTACTGTTCAACATGAGGGAGACCTCGTGCCACCCAGCACCCCACACTCCCTACGCTGGAGTGGCAAGGGCTGCAGATGAGGGGCTTTAGGGCAGTGGCAGCTGCAGAGTCATATTGCCAGGCCTGGCTACTGTATCCCGGGCCAGCGCTGGCCCTTCCTCTTGACTCTGGCCCAGGATGCACAGCCAGCAGAGGTCAAGGCAGTGTCCCAGTAAACCCTGGCCACCCCTCTGAATAAAGCAAGGAGGCTCCACCACACCATCTGTCCCAGTAGCCTCTCGGTTTCTCTTCCCATAGCTCCCATCCTGCCCCTGAATGGGAGCATATAAGGAAAGAGTAAACTAAGAGTTTTCTGGTTCCATTTGTCTGTGCATGAGAATTTCGGAGTGCTACACTAACTCCCACAGACATTGGTCACATTCTCTTTGCACCAACTTTGTCCCGTATACATGCAACGTGCTAGCAAGACCATGAGGAGCAAGAGCGAATGCAGTGCACTCTCTCCTGGGGTTCCCAATCTAGTGTGAGACCCCAGACATAAAAGGTATAAGGTGCGTTCCAGCAGGAGAGCTCCTGAAATTACACGTTCACTGAGTGCCTGAAAGGCCTGCAGTAGCCTCCATGTCACAGAAGCTAATCTTACGGCACCAACAAAGCGAAGATAGGAGCCTAATGCCATCAAAGTGCTGGCTTCTTTTCTGTGTTAATGGCATTTCGTGTAAACAAATTTAAAGATTTTTTTTTAGTTGTTTTGTTCATGACTGCCTAATTTGTTGATCTTTGGGTTAAGTGTTCATGCCATTATGGTGAGGAAATAAACTCCTGCTGAGGCCAATAATTCATTCACTCATCTACCATCCCACACATTTTTTTAAAGTGGAGCCTTATGAAATGACTGACTATACAAGTCAAAACAGGCAAACACTTGGCTCACATCTGTAATCCCAGAACATTGGGAGGCCAACAGGGGAGCATCATGAGGTCAGGAGATTGAGACCAGCTTGGCCAACATGGTGAAAAGCCAGCTCTTCTAAAATACAAAAAATTAGCCAGGTGTGGTGGCACATGTGGTAGTCCCGGCTACTTGGGAGGCTGAGGCAGGGGAATCACTTTAACCGGGGAAACAGGGGTTGCAGTGAGCCGAGATTATGCCACTGCACTTCAGCCTGGGCCATAGAGCAAGACTCCATCTCAATAACCAACAAACAAAAACAGCCACACACTAACAACTCCATGTGGTTCAGCAAACTCAGAATTAGTGCCAGGCACTGTGCTGAGTGCGGGGACTCCCAGCCCAGCAGACAGCCTTCCTCTCACAACGCCTAGATGCTAAAAAGGGAGACAGAAAATCCCCAAGTAAACAAAGGCAAACCAGCATTTTAAAGTGTGATAAGAACTATATAGAAGAAACAGAACAGAGGCCTCGGAGGCAACGCCACACATCTACAACCATCTCATCTTTGACAAACCTCACAAAAATAAGCAATGGGGAAAGAATTCCCTGTTTAATAAATGATGTTGGGAAAACTGGATAGCCATGTGCACAAAGCACAAACTGGACCCCTTCCTGACACCTTACACTAAAATTAACTCCAGATGGATTAAAGACTTAAACATAAGACCTAACACCATAAAAACCCTAGAAGAAAACCTAGGCAAAACCATCCAGGACATAGACATAGGCAAGGACTTCATGACTAAAACACCAAAAAACATGGGCATCAAAAGCCAAAGTAGACAAATTGGATCTAATTAAACTCCAGAGCTTCTGCACAGCAAAAGAAACAATCATTAGAGTGAACTGGCAACCAACAGAATGGGAAAAAAATTTTGCAATCTACCCATCTGACAAAGGGCTATTATCCAGAATCTACAAAGAACTAAAACAGATTTATAAGACAAAAACAAACAAACCTATTCAAAAGTGGGCAAAGGATATGAATAGACACTTCAAAAGAAGACATATATGAGGCCAACAAACATATGAAAAAATACTTATCATCACTGGTCATTAGAGAGATGCAAATTAAAACCACATTGACATACCATTTCACGCCAGTTAGAATGGTGATAATTTAAAAAGTCTGTGGGGCAGAACTACCAGAGGGACAGCAGGCGGTGGGGAGTTGGGGAGGGATAACATGGGGAGAAATGCCAGATATAGGTGATGGGGAGGAAGGCAGCAAACCACATTGCCATGCATGTACCTATGCAACAATCCTGCCACAATGTTCTTCACATGTACCCCAAAACCTAAAACGCAAAAAAATATATATATTTAAAAAAAATCTAAAGACAACAGATGTTGGAGAGGATGTGGAGAAATAGGAACACTTTTACACTGTTGGTGGGAGTGTAAATTAGTTCAACCATTGTGGAAGACAGTGTGGTGATTTCTCAAGGACCTAGAAACAGAAATTCCATTTGACCTAACAATCCCATTACTGGGTATATATCCAAAGGATTATAAATCATTCTATTATAAAGACACATGCACACATATGTCCATTGTGGCACTGTTTACAATAGCAAGGACTTGGAACCAACTCAAATGCCCACTGATGAAAGACTGGACAGGGAAAATGTGGCACATATACAGCATGGAATACTATGCAGCCATAAAAAACAATGAGTTCGTATCCTTTGTAGGGACATGGATGAACCTGAGAATCATCATTCTCAGCAAGGAGACACAAGAGCAGAAAATCAAACACCGCATGTTCTCACTCATAGGTGGGTGTTGAACAATGAGAACACATGGACACAGGGAGACGAGTATCACACACTGGGGTCTGTTGGGGGTGACTAGGGGAGGGGCAGAGGGGGTATACAGAGTTGGGGACGGATAACATGGGGAGAAATGGCAGATATAGGTGATGGGGATGGAGGCAGCAAACCACATTGCCATGTATGTACCTATGCAACAATCTTGCATGTTCTGTACATGTACCCCAGAACCTAAAGTGCTATATATATATATATATATATATATGAACTATACAGAAAAGGAGATCAGGTAGTGACAAGGGATTGTGACCACTGGGAAGGGAGGTGTGGGCAGGGGGTCGGGGAAGTTCTCTGGACGACATAATGACATTTCAGCTGAGACCATAATGACGACACATCATCAGCCATGTGAGTATCTGTATCACGTCAAAATGGCCAGGATAGAGAATCCCAGACTGCAACCCCCAGTCCAGTCAGCCCAGGCTCCCAGTCGCAAAAGGTCAGCAAAATGAGGTCAAAGTTTTCACACCTACCCATACTTTGACAAAGGAAACTAACTCAGGAGCCCTCCAAGGCTTCACCGGCAGTTTGTATTTGTGTGTTTTGGTTTGGTTTGTTTTTCCCTGCAAACACACCAGGTCTCATTCTATAACAGCATAATATGAACAGCTTCATTATTTCATTCACTAAATTATGCTATATGAAAATTTTAATCGGCAAACATAACATTGGTAGAACGGGTATATCCATACGCTGCTGTTGCCAGTGTAAACTGTCAAACCATTTTTTTGCAAAAGAAATATTGCAACACAAAGAAAAATCCATAAAGACGCTCATATTCTTGGCCTCCCAACTCTACCCCCGGGGAATTTATCCTAAGGAAATAATCTGGTTCAATAGAATAAAATGTTCTCTCTAGAAGAACTCCATGGAGGTGTTAATTGTTATACACACAAAGGAAAGAAAAAACGAAAGCACCTGGAATTATCCAAATGACTGCAAATGGGGGGTTTTAACAAAATAGGATAATTCATTTGATGAAATTTCATACCACCATTAAGCATCATAACAAAGATTACAAAGTTCCTAAACGAAATGGCATAAGCAGCTTTTTGAGAGAAGCAGAAGACAATGTGCATATTTTAATGGAAAGCATGTAAACAGTATCTCAAGGTGAACAAGAGCAAGAAAATTGAAAAGAATTGCATCAAGGCCAGTGGGGTGAGGAATTATTTATTTCAAATGTCCTTCCAAAATATTGTCAGTGTACTGAGTTTTCATTAAAAAAAAAAATCCCTCAGAAACAATAGTATGAGAACGCTGCAATAGCATGCCACCCAAACACAAGGACATTTGCTCATTCTAACTTTAAATACAAAATAAAGCCAAATTTGAAGATGCCTTCTGTGTTATAGATTCCACAGTCTTTCACGTATGGCTCCTGCATGTGAGACTGAACTTTGAATAGCAATGCAATGTTGCATGATTTTACAACAGTTTCTCCTGTTTGGAGAGTTTGTCTTGAGGGAGGGGGGGAGTGACTAGAAATTAATCTCTTCTTTTACTAAAGGTGGGGGAGGATCAGCAGACGAGGAAAAGGGCTTTAAGGCCGGACTCCCATGGCAGTAGAGGCACAGGCTGGGGGTACTCACCTTTCACGATCAGCTCCGCGTAGTTGGACACACCAGACCCACCGTCAGAGCGGATCACACAGCGGTACTTGCTGACGCTCCGCTGGGCAGTGTCTGCCACACTGACCGTGGCTGAAAAGCGCCTGTGGTTGACCACACGGGTGACCATCAGGGCAGTGTCCCTGCCATTCCATTGCTGCAGAACAGAGGAAGAGAGGGAGAGGAGGAATCATAGCATCACAGGCTTCCAAGTGACTCCCAGCACGAATGTCCACCCATCCTCACACCCTTGTGGCTCAGGACTTTCAACTGTAAGAAGGGACTTCTAGCCAGGCACAGTGGCTCATGCCTGTAATCCCAGTGCTTTGCAAGGGCTGAGGCAGGAGGATCACTTGAGGCCAGGAGTTTGAGACCAGCCTGGGCAGCAAGCAAGGCCCTGCCTCTATGAATTTTTTTTTTTTTTTTTAAGTCAGGCATGGTGGCACCCACCTTAAGTCAGATCAGTATCACCTTCAGATAGTCTGGAGGGTGAGGAGGAAGGATCGCCTGAGCCCAAGAACTCAAGGTAGCAGTGAGCCATGATCAAGCCACTGCACTATAACCTGGGTGACAGGGCAAGACCCTGCCTCTAAAAGAGAAAAAAAAAAAAAAAAAAAAAGAGCAAGAGTTTTCACGGCTAGTTTGTGCCAAGGATCTGATATGAGAATAAGCTTTGCTAGTGAGCTGATTCAAGGGCAGAGGCCTGCCTGGTGGTAAGAAGAGAGGGAAAAGGTTTCTTCTAGACACCTTGGCTCAGCCTGCATTTGGGGCCGGCGTGGAGCCCCTTAACCTTCCTTCCAATTTTCATTTTTCCCTTAAGCAGAACCCACAGCATTCTTTCAGACAAACTTCAGCAGACTTAGTGAAAACCCAACCCAAATGGAATAAAGACAGCCTGGCTCCTAGGCCTATGGCTGGTACCCTACTACCCCACCCCACAGGCGGAGCCCCACCTGCCTTAAGCTATCACCACAAGTAGGGAGAGGATAGGGCCTTTCCAACACCTCTCTTCTTTGGCACACGCCCTTTCCTGTGCCTGGAAGGTCCAGTCTCCCTGGGGACACCCCCTCTTCCATAAAAACCCACGTTCAGTTCACAGCCATCTCCGGTCAGTTCTCACGACTGTCACCCCAACTTTGGAAGCTTACCCAGCCCTCATGCATGACGCAAACTTTCCACGTTTTCCTATAAGTGCTGCCCACTTTACACTGAAGCCAGGACTTGCCTCTGTTCATCTTTAGAAGCTTGTCTGAAAGCCCCTCAAGTTGGCAGACATTTCCAGAATCAAGGTGAATACACATAGGCTTTTGTATTCAGCATCCTGAGCTATAGGTGGGAGATCCTGAGTCTGAATAAGTCTTTCACAGTTTCAAGTTATGAGGGCTGGTAAGGCACAGGCACGTCAATGCAGTTTGAGTGGATGTTTATTAAGGTTCTTAACTGGATGTGTATCTAGTGTGCGCCAGCCGCTGAGCTGCGTATTTGTGTATAAATCTTCACTGTGTCTTCACAGCCTTGTTTGGGGTGTATATGACTGCAGCTCTTCTCAGAAGAAAAATCCAAACGTTTAACTAAATGTGTAGAGTACCTGAGTCCCTTATCCAGGTTTTCCAATTTTAAGTCAAGCACTCTTTTTACTAAGGCCTTATTCTCAGTGCCTGCTTTAACTTAAAAACGTTTTTTCTCAAAAAAGTGAAACTGACTACTTTAATTGTCTGGACTTAGAGAAACCTTATGACTTATGATTCTCATGCCCTGAGTCTCGCTGTCTCCCGAGATGCAATCTTCATCATTTCCTGCACCAGGTAGACAGCTTCTCCATGTGCAAAACCTACTTTCATCTATGTCATCTTCCCTCACCCTCTACAGTGACCTCTCAGGATGGGGGCACAGGGGCAGGTAGAGCCACACTGCTCAGCCCTATGGCAGCAAATGAGGGGAGGCCAATACCATGGGAAGGCAGTGATCATGAAGGCCAGAAATCCAGGGTAACCTAGACCCCCATCAAAGGGCAGCTGAGACAGACTTGCTCCAGGATAAACGGGAAAATTGTGGGTAATATTTTGCTGCTTCTTTTTACTTTTTGGCATTCTTCAGACTTTCTGTCTCAAACATATATTTCCTTTATACTCGAAAATAAAAAAATAAATGGCATTGTTAAAAAGCTACGGCAGAATGAGAGTTAGCCATAACTCCCTCCCATGCTAGGAACTAACCAACAGGTGGAATAGTTAGTCCATATCTGAGCAACATACATGGGGCTCCAAGAGGAGAATCTGAAGCCAAACGCCAGCTCTGCAGCTTCCAAGCTGTGCAATCTGGGGCAGGCAATTTCACTCCTCTGAGATGAAAAGTTTCTATTTGCTTGCCCAAATAAAAACCAGTACAAGGTAATGGAAGGAGAGAAAAGTCACCAGGGCTGAAATGGCCACTCACCTGCCTCATGCCTTGAGGCATCTTTGCAGGAGATGGTACAACTTGGGCCTCACTATGAGAACCTACAAGACACCACATGCGATGCCCATTCCCAAAATAGTGCAGGGAAGAAGGAGGGAAAATTCTGGCAAACACCAGGAATGTGCCCTGATTTGGAAAACAGGCCACTAAATGAATGGGAGGGCCTTGGAAGAAATGGGGTCATCAAAAGGAGCCCATCTTCCCCACTGCTGAGCAAGGTAGTTCAGAGCCACCATGGTGGATAGGGATGAGTGAGTGGTGAGGCTTTGGGTTAATATTTTCTAACCTGAGTTGTTTATAACATCATAAACACTTAACTTTTCTTTATCAAGCTAACAACAGCTAAACACTATTATGTGGTAAGTGTTTTAGATGCTTTCTCATTTGTTCCCCATGAGAAATAAGGGCACACTTCTTCACCTCTCTCATATATAACAGGAAACTGAAGCTCAGAGAAGTGAAATTGCCTGCCCAAGGCTGCACAGCTCGGAAGCTGCAGAGCTGGCATCTGGCTTCAGATTCTGCTCTTACAATCCCATGCAGGCTGCTCCAATGTGAATTAACTACTCCCAGTCACTTACCTCTTAAAGTGCCCCAATGTCCCAGTATGGGAGAGTATGAGCAGCAGGTATGAGGCCAGCTATTTGCTACCAATTTATTAGCTGAGCAATAAAAGGGCCGAGGGATGTATTCATGTTGCATAAGAAGTAGAAAGAAATAAGCAAAATGCGCATGCCCACCCAAAGCCCATGAAACACAGAGCTACGCCTTGGATGTCCAACTTCTGAACAGCCAAGAAATCTGGGAGATTAAAAAGGAGAGACTGAGAGTGATGCCAACACATGGGCTCCACAGAACATGGGCTAAGAGGTGAGGCAACAAGGAAAAATACTAAGAGAGAAGATAAACCTCCCTGGAGGAGCCAAGGGAAGAATTGAGGCCAAGAAACAGTGCCATTTGCAGATGTCAACATGGCTTTAGAAGTAAAGAGCAGGATCAATGTTGCAGAAAACCAGCAACCTGGAGGACAGGCCTGAAAAAATAACCCAGATGGCAAAGAAAGCAATGATAAAATAAAGTGGAGAGAGGCAAACTGATCAAGAAAATGAGCAACAGACAACAACCCTGTAAGTAACGGGAGCTCCCACAGAAGAGAACGCAATGAATGGAATGAAATCTGATCCCGAGATAAAGGAGGTCACTTCCCTGGACTAAACTGAGAGCTGACGTTTCAGACTGAATGGCCTACCATCTATTTGATAAAATTTACAAAAACCAAAATAATCGATGTTTATAAAAATATTAAGAATAAAGAAATATATAGAAATCTAGGGGGGAAAATGTACAAATATACAAGCCCATCTGGTATAAAAGTCCTCATATGCAATTGTTTCTAAATCCCAGGTGACCTCTCCTGGATGTGACCGGCTCACCAGTGGTCACAGGTGAGCTCCCAGGAGGTTCCTGTTACCTAGCTGCCTATAAGAAAACAGGGATGGAGCTAAAGACAGACAGAATAGGGACTACTGATAAAACGAATCAAGGTAAAACCTCGGTTTGTGCAAACTTGGGTGGTGATTTCATTTCTCTGAGCTTCGGTTTCCTCATCTACAAAACAGATTTGAAAATGGTGCCCACTATATAAAGTTATTGTGGGGAATCAATGAGAAGGCATGTAAAACAGCACATGAAGGCACATATTCTAGGGTTCGCAGAGCTCTCGTGTTAGCAGAGCTCAAATTAATTGTGAAATAAGCCATAAAAAGTGTGGTAGACAGGCTGACAGCCCCCCAAAGATGCCAACATCCTAGTCCCCAGAACCTGGGAATATGTGACCTTATGTGGCAAAAGAGACCCTGAAGCTATGATTAGGTTAAGAATCTTGAAATGGGGAGAGATCATTTTTGATTAATCTCCTGAGCCCAATTTAATCAAGAGTCTCTATATATGAAAGAGTAAGGCAGGAGAGCCAGAAGCAGAGATGTGGGACAGGGGAAGTCAGAGTGATGCCATCACTGGTTTGAAGATGGAGGAAGGGGCCAGGAGCCAAGGAATGTAGGCAGCCTCTAGACGAGAGGGAAGGTAAAGGAATGGATTCTCTGCTGGATGCTCTGCAAAGAATGTAGCCTGCCAAAAGCCTGCCAACACCCTTATGTTAGCCCACTGAAATCCACTTGTGACTTCTCATCTCCACAACTATAAATAAATAAATTTAAGTCATTACACTTGTGGAATTTGTTACAGTAGCAATAAGAAACTAACGAGAAAAAGCCTGGCTACATGCAAAACATTCATTTTTCACATTTAGTTTAAATTTTATTTTGAAGTCACCTCCAGTATTATTTACTTTTCTTCTTAATGATGTCAGATTCTGGCAGGGCCAGGGAGGATTAAGGGTGTCCACCTGAACAATTCACATTTTTTCTGTTTAGCTTCTGAACCAACAGGCTTTATCTTATTGAAAGATAGGAAATTGCAGGTTGTCTTATAAAATCTCCGGAAAATAGGCCTTTTGATAATCACACTTGTCATATTGGGAGCAGGCAACAGCAGGACAGGGACGAGCAGGAGGGCCTAGAGTCATGATAGGAAATAGCACTGTGATGGGCCATTGGCAAGGAGAAACAGAGGTCAAGTTCAGAGAGATGAGCCTAGATGAGAAGGGCCCATGAGTACGACTGCTCAAGACAAGGCAGGGAA